CACACACACACACACACACACACACACACACACACACGAATATAGACAAAACAGAATTGGGTCAGAAAAAAGCCACTAAGCAAGGAAACAATTACAATGATGGCAACAAAAAATTCTGTTGCCACATTGTATTACTCAAACATCCAGTTTTCAACACAATACTATAGAACATGGCAAGAAAGAAAACAACACAAAGTATGGCCCATACACAGGGTAGAAAACCGATCAACAGAAACTCAAAGTCCAGATACTGAATTTACCAGGCAAGTTCTTAAATCAGCTGCATTAAATGTTTAAAGGATTAAAGGAAGCCATGGCTAATGAACTAAGGACAGTATGGGAAAAAGGTCTCAGCACACTGAGAATATCAATGAAGAGAAATTATTAAAAAAAGGGAATAGCTTTTGAGGGGGAAAAAAACCCAATAGGAATTCTGGGGTGGCAAAGTACAATTATAATAACCACAAAAAGCTAAATGGGCTGAACAGATTTGAACAAGAGGAAAAAACAATCAGTGAAACTGAAGATACATCAATTTACGTTATTTCATCTAAGAAATAAAAAAAACAACTATGCCTCAGAGACCTGTGGGACACTAACAAGCATACCAACATATACATACTGGGAATCCCAGCAAGAAAGGAAACAAAGGAGCAAAAAGGAATATTTGATGAAATAACTGCCCCCAAAATCCAATTTTAATGAAAAACATTAAGCCTCATAAACAAGTTCAACAAACTGCCAATAGAATCAACTCAGATTCACATTTAGAGGTATCATAATCAAACACTACTGAAAGCCAAAGACAATCTTCAAAGCAAGAGACACAATTGATCAAGCAAAAGAGATCCTCAATAAGACATCATTTCTAATCAGAAACTAGGAAGCCAGAAAGCAGTAAAATGACATTAAATGTGCTGAAAGAACAAAACTTATCAACCAAAATTTCCATAACCAGCAAAACTCTTCTTCAAAAACTGAAGGTGTATTAAAAGATTACTAGATAGGGGTGCCTGGGTGGCTCAGTCGATTAAGCGTCTGACTTCGGTTCAGGTCATGATCTTGGAGTTCATGAGTTCCGCTCTGTGCTGACAGCTCAGAGCCTAGAGCCTGCTTCAGATTCTGTGCTCCGTCTCTCTCTGCCCCTCCCCCACTCAGACTCCCTCTCTCTCCCTCTCTCTCTCTCTCTAATAAACAAAAAATAAATAGAATTAATTAAAAATAGGGGCGCCTGGGTGGCGCAGTCGGTTAAGCGTCCGACTTCAGCCAGGTCACGATCTCGCGGTCCGTGAGTTCGAGCCCCGCGTCAGGCTCTGGGCTGATGGCTCGGAGCCTGGAGCCTGTTTCAAATTCTGTGTCTCCCTCTCTCTCTGCCCCTCCCCCGTTCATGCTCTGTCTCTCTCTGTCCCAAAAATAAATAAATGTTGAAAAAAAAATAAAAATAAATAAAATAAAATGAATAAGATATTACTAGATAAGTGTGGAGCGCCTGGGTGGCTCAGTCGGTTAAGTGTCCAACTTTGGCTCAGGTCATGATCTCAAGGTTCGTGGGTTAGAGGCCCAGATCAGGCTCTGTGCTGACAGTTCACAGCCTGGAGGCTGCTTTGGATTCTGTGTCTCTTTCTCTCTGTGCCCCTCCCCTGCTTGCACGCACTCTCTCTCTCTCTCTCTCTCAAAAATAAAGAAACATTAAAAAAAATTAGGGGCACCTGGCTGGTTCCATTGGTTAAGTGTCCAACTTCAGCTCAGGTCATGATCTCACAGTTCATGAGTTTGAGCTCTGCGTTGGGCTCTGTGCTCACAGTTCAGAGCCTAGAGCATGCTTCAGATTGTGTCTCCCCGCCCCACCTCTCTGCCCCTCCTCTGCTTGCAATCTGTTTCTCAAAAAATAAACATTAAAAAATTTTAATTAAAAAAATATTATTAGATACATGAAAACTGAGAATTCATAATTATAAATGTTCTTTTGGTTTATAACTCTTTTTCCCTTCTATCTAATTTAAAAGACATTTACAGGGGCACCTGGGTGGCTCAGTCAGTTAACTGTTCAAGTTCAGCTCAGGTCACAATCTTGCAGTTTGTGAGTTCAAGCCCCACGTTGGGCTCTGCCCTGACAGCTTGGAGCCTGAAGCCTGCTT